GGCTCATAGTGTCAACCAACGTATGTCTCTTTAGTTTGTTCGCCATTAGGCATGGACCAGTTTGTCATACGGAGAGGCAGGGCAAGCGGATTCGGTCACAGTGGAGCTCCTTTGAGGGTTGTTTTCCGTATTTTTGCAACCTATTGTGGCTTATTAACGCCTACGTTGTCAACGTGCAGGAAAGTCGACCATGTCCACCCGTAAAGGCGTACGCAATGGGTGATTTCAGAACCCGAATATGTCTAAATTCTGACTTAGAACTTCGACGATTTTCCTGCTCGGATTCAGGAAAAAAAGCACCGACATGCGAATTAAAAAAATTTGTCGGAATTCCCGAATAGCGACATTTCTGTGAAATGTATGCACACATTGAGGCAAATTTTAGATAGTCGTTGTATCGAGAGTTCTCTTCGGAAAACATGAAAAGTGCAAAAACCGCCTACCAACGCGCGAAAAAGGGAGGAACGTTAACTATGCCTGTCAGTTGTCTTAACGCCGCCGGTGCCCACCACTGCATTCATCTTTGCAACAGAAGCGAAAGTTGTTGAAAATCAGCTTGCTTGCAGATTTTTCTTCTTTGTCGGAAATCGAAAACTTTTCGCGAACGGGCTACAGTTCGTAAACCTAGCGCGGAGGGTATTGAAAGTATCCGCTTTAAGGCGACTAGAAGAAAGAGCGCTCGATCACGAGAAGCATTCCAAACGGGGCGGGTGTGCATAAGGTTAAATGTATGTCGCCTGCATCGATCCACAGGCCCCCAAGAAAGCGTCCTTCTCCACGAATTCTGCAAACCGCCGCAGACGCTTATACCTCGCAAGCGGCAGGGCATCAACACGCGAACACCTGCATCCGTAGCGGGCGCCGAAAGCGATCGCTCTCTTCCGGAATCTTCCCTTTAGCTACCCCACCGCTACGTCCTCGCCGTCGAAGGGGCGCTACTTAATGGCGCTCTTCTCAGGATTTTTGCTCGTCGCCCATCGCGCCCGTAAACGAGCGGATTTGTGCTCCTACGAGGCGAGGGCTCCTCCTGGGGCGGTGGCACTCCTTTTCATATTGGCCGCCACCTTGCGAGATGGCAGCGGCTTCGCAGAAATTGTGGCATATGCCGACCTGGAGGGACGCCCGGGTCGTTGGCATTTAAATGCTCGGATAGCGGTGACATCCGAGCTGCAGCTAGCGAAGCCACATACGGGTGCAAGTAAGAAACACTAGGAAGTCCAGGGTTCCGCGAAATAGTCAAATAGACCGGCGATGGGTGCAGGCGAATCACTGAAGCAAGGACAGCGGAAGTTTGACTTTTGGGACCGTCGGCACCCGTTGAACAAAACGCAGCAAAACGGTCCTCGTACGTGCTTGTGGTGAAGGAGAAGCGTGGACATCATTATTAAGCTTTACTTTTTTGTTTACTAGAAAATAATGGGCACTGTTCCGGAAAACCATCCATTTTATTGGAAACGCAGGGTATTTTCTCACGGTTAAAAAATTACGTCAGCATTTGCAGCGTATCGGTAGACTAATGTACTTGGGTAGCCATTCCTTGACGTTCGTTCCATTCAAGTTGTGTAGAGAACGCAACTAGTACCCCTTCCGGGATTCCAGCGGCTATAATTTTCGGTTTCTAAGGGGGCCCTTTTGCCTAGTCATTCCGCGGGATTTTCGGGTCTTGAGACTACCGGTACGCCTTAAAAAACGAGCGGCAACATAAAGCTGCACCGATCGAAGGATTTAAACAGCACGAGAAACTGTCACAATAAGGCATGTGGGCTCGGAAGCCCGAACCTGTCGTGAAAGATGAGCTTAAGCTAGCACCCTTAGTAACCAAACACGAACGCGAATCTTGAGCTGCTCTTAAGTCTCGCAGCGGGGTATGATCGCTTATGTGATTCTGAAGACGACAACTGCCTGGCAACATGCGACGAAATGTGGAGTACATTCGAAACCCATTGTGGTCCTTAACGACGCCCAGGGATGAGCTGGATGATGGCGGGCGCCATGGAGGTGGACGCTGCTCTTCAGCGTGCTGGCGCCCACATATCACCGCCACATGGGTCGCCAAGATGAGATTGTCCTTTGAGGAAAATGAAAAATTCAAGCGCCGATCGCTTTGGTATCTCGGAAACGGCAAAATCACGAGCTGCAAGGACGATCCTAAGTGGAAACGAATTGATGAGCTTCCGCTAGGCAGGGTCGTTAATGGATTACAGGCTGGGAAGAATCCCGGTCTCGAAGTCGACGGTAACAGGTCTAGACGAGCCCTGCCGCGAACCAGCCTAGTTCAAGCGAATTTTGGGAGGACTTACGGCGTTCTTCGAAATAGGCTAACGTCCTGAGAAGAAGCCCAGTATCCGAGTAGTACTACCAAGTAGGTAATGTAAACGGGTGCGTTTTTGAGAAAGATGTTAAGGCTTCGTTTAGGTTGCGAACAAATCTCTCGGTTCAAAGGGCGGAAAAATGTCGAAGGCAAAATAGAAACTGTTAAGTCCAATGGTGCTCGACAGCATTCGGAATTTAGCTTAATAAAGAAAGTAAACAGTTCAAACACTCACTGTGAGCGTTGCAAACGGGTGGGGACTGAGCTTCGCACGGTGAAAAATACTGGCTTTACAACGTTTTTCTCTGCGTTATCGATGAGAAAACGGCAATGGACGAATGCGGTCGCAGGTTAGTTACGTATACGATGACGAAAAAATTCTACGATGGGCCGGACACCGACAGAACATGTCCTCAGTCCAGGCTACTTTGCTACGACACCCGCGACGTCGTCATCATCGTCCGCTTTATCCTCGCCGTCGAGCGGGCCAGTTGTCATGGAGTTTTGCAAATAAATCCACGCGCTCTAAGTCTCATCACTGCCGGGATCCCGGTCAATCCCAGTCCGTGTGTTCCGAGAGCGAGACGGGGAGGCATTAGACATTCACAACATCCGCTTCGGCATCACTTTTTGCCCATGGACGTGAGCTAGTTCCGCGAAACCCACCGGTAGCAATCTGGTACTCGTCGGCTGTGAGGGGTCACTTCGACAAAGTCGGTCGGGAGTCACTTTATTTTACTTTTATAACCCATGTGAAAAGTTTATTCATTTTTAACAGCGCAAACAAGACACTTAGACCAGGTGGCTTTGTCGTAATTGCATTTTTCGCACTTATCGCTGGCTCCGTCCCATATACACGTGATAGGGCCGTACCGTGCCGTATCATCGGTACGGTGTACGGCAGGGATGGGACCGAAGTTCGGATTCGGATTCGGTTGAAAAACCGAATTTTCCCGAAGTTTGCACGAGATAAAAAGACCCGGCGACAAGCGCAGCACAGGCGGAAAATTTCACCGTTTTCGATCAAAATTTACCCAAATTTTGGCGGGATCGCCTGAGGCGCGCCATTTATTCGACAAAATCGCCTTAGAACAGCGTGGCAAAACAAACTGAGGGTTCGCCCTTGGAAGACTTCGGCCCACTTAGCCCAAATTTTGTCACCACCGTCTAGTACAGGTCAGAACCGAACGAATGAAAAACTTCGGATTCGGAAATTCGGTACATTTTCCGAAGTTCGGATTCGGATTCGGTTCGGATTTCAAAAACACCCATCCCTGGTGTATGACCCGGTTGGTGTCGGCCAGTATGTAAGTACGGTACGGCTCCAGGTTCGTCGATATCCAGCACTAGTACGGCTCGTGCTGCCGTACCGCACGGTACTGGGCTGTATAGAGTATGGTACAGGGAGGGTCAGTACGGTACGGGTGCAGGTCTTTAATTCGAAGCCGCTTTCGGAGAAACATAAAAAAATAATGGCCCACGATTCTGGGTGAATGATTATCGAATAGGCGCTTCTACGCGAAATCCATAGGGAGCACTAGAGGGAGCGTTGGGACCACTAATAAAGTTCCTTGAGCAGAGCCTATTCGGATCGTCAAAGTCGCGTCGACTAAACGGCTTCTCCTCTAACGTTTATTCCACTCGACGGAGGGAGTTCCCACGTAGCGGGCACCGCGACAAGCATGAAAGGTCGCTCCATCAGGAACTTACCACCCTATTCATGCGCATAACGGCGCGAACAAATCGGAACTGCTTCTCAGACAGCGTACACGTCGCGAAGAGTAGTTACGTAACAAAAATGTCTTAGTCGCCTTTTTGAGCGGCGAAAACGGAGGCGACCGAATAGAGCAAACATCCGTGAAGATCCAGATAGGGTGTCACAGGCCTAAGGTCAACTAAAAGTCAGACGGGCAAAAGAAATTAGCCATATAAGCAAAAAAATACACTAAAGCGGTCTTTTATGGTGCCTGCGGGGCATTACCATATCGCGGTATTTTCATATAGATGCGATACTGACTCTACTATTTCAATTCAGAGAGTTCTCAAACGGGTCGAGGCGGTAAAGGATCTCCGAAAATAAAGTAAGCTTCGCAACATCTCGAAAATATCCAAAAACAGGGAAAACGCAAAAAGTTAGAGCCATTTAACTTTTCGAACCTTTTGCGTTGTATGATACCTTCCGAAATTTTCCATCTAAAGAAAGCTATGAATATGGATTACGGCGGTATATGAATACTGTCCTTTTTACTAGAAATAAAGGCAAGCGACGGATAAATTTGAGAAAGTATCCAAAAAATATGCCCATGCACTAGTCTCTCTTTGAGAAGCTAGTTTAGTTTTTTGATATTCTGCGTTCAGCCAAGTAGAAGCTGAGAAGCAAAAGATGATGTCGTGAACTCCGCAAAAATACTTGGCTCCAGCCGGGATCGAACCGGCGACCTTCAGTGTGTAAGACTGACGTGATAACCACTACACTATGGAACCGCACTCCATAAGGGCGCTAAGGGACGGTCGAGAGCCTTTGTGTGAAACGAGCTAGTAAACAGTAAAATGCCTCTATTAACGGGAAAGTGAGTCCTACTGAAGCAAAACTTTCAGATTACCTAAAACTCGATATAGACATGCGATTGTGTACGGTCCTTGACTAAGCACCAGAAAAGTGAGAATTTGGCGAATGCTTAGAGATCTAAACGAGCATTTTGCGCGTATTGGTCCGGTTAATAATTAACCACACCTGACACATTTGTTTAGCACAATCACCATTCTGCTTTTTGCATCATCCACGATATTTTCTTTGCATCGTCCTGTCAGTTTATGCCCTTGATGAAAAGTGTCAGAGCCTTAAGTTCGCTTACGTTTAGAGCCTTCTCATACAATGCGCCGCGTCCATAACAACTACTTTATTTAAGACAAAAAGCAGGTCCAAATATGTGACAAGGACGTATAGTACTGACGTCGGTGTTGGTTTGAGCGGCATGCTCAGTCAACTTCCTCCTCTGAAAACCCCGAAGGTTAAAAGAAAAAAATCAGCGGCGTATTGAGCGCCCAGATTTAGTTGTGACCAAAAATTTAGGGTGGGCCAAGGAATTGAGCGTCGATGTTGCCCTTGGTCCTCGTTGCGGCAGTCCTCGGCCGCCGCGATCACAAGGGCCCCTCTTAATTAATTTACCGAGGGGCGGGATGCACCCAGCTCAAAGGGTCGGTACGCCACTGCTAAAAACCATAACAAAAGCAAAAACCACTTAGCGGAATGGTCAAACGTTAGCAGCAATGATAATCGCAAATTACGTTTTTATACGTAGCCCTTAAGCCTAATCCGCATCATAATGTCTCTGGAACCGTTCGCGAGACGCGGATTCCTTACTTCTGGAAGCCGTAGCCGTGGCCGCAGTTGTCTCACGGCGGACGGTCTTCCCCACCAGTCACCGGAGTACGTGCAGCCCTGGCTGTCGAGACAGCTGCCCGGTTAGCTAGGCCGAGCAGTTTTCGGGACAGGCTTATTTTACGGTTAAGCTTCCGCTCTAGCTAGCTTAGAGTCTTCTCTCCGCTAACTGCTGCTGCCTACTGCTACTGGAGATGTTGGTCGATTCCTTGCTGGTAGATGCCGGAATAAACGCTTGCTTTATTGAAGACGAGTGAGAAAGACCCGAACTAAAAGTAGGAACATTTAGTTGGGCCGAAAGGTAGGTTAAATGCGAGTAAATGAGCAAGGAATAAAGTAAAAGGGCGAAAAGTAGGCCTCTCTCAGGCTGCCCTCGACGGAGTGTGTCGAATGTGGGCAGTCCTGAGCAGCCACCTAGCCCGACGGAGTGTGTCGGATAGCGCTAAGTGACCGCCGATGGACTGACGGTGGTGGTGGTGCGACCGCTGCTTAAATAGGTTGGCGGTGGCACGACGTTCCTCCCAAGTTGGCGGGCGTCCTCGTTTGAAAACTGGCGGGAAGGCGGCAGCAGCGGCGGTGGTGAAATAGCCGCCGCACTCAAGGTCACGGGGAATGACAGTGAGCGGGCAGACCGCAGCGACGAATAACGAAGAAGAAATTTGCATGCACGCCTCGTGAACCGCACTGTTCACGACACTGGGGCCCGCGAACGACGAAGTGGTGCAGATGGTGTCGACGTCGATGGCTTGAGGGTGGAAGAGGGCAGGAGAGGGCCACATTACAAGTTGAAAGTTAACAAGTGAACGAAATCAACGGGCCACAGCAATAGGTCGATCTTAAGGACCGAGCAGAAGGGTAGTGAGTAAATAAGGGGTAGAAGGCGATAGCGGTTGGAGGCCGGAGTGGGGTTACCACTCGGGCTCGGGGTCCTGAGGGCGATCTTCTGCCGATGTGATTGAGTGCTGGTCGTCCGAACGGTCCCGTAGCAGCTCTTCGATGTTGCCGAGCTTCTTGTCCAAGGCGGCAGTGATCCGGAGTGTGGCTTGCTGGGCGACTTGCTCGACTAGCGCAGCTAGTGCCTGTTCACCGAAGATGTTGGCGATGTTGGCAGGTGGGCGAGAGATGGAGGGGCCTGCTGCTGTCGGTGGAGGGGCGGCGACTGCCTGCTGGGAGCTAGCGCTGGACCGGTTGGAAGGTCCAGTCGTCGCTGGAGGACGGATCGGTGCCGTGGGACGGGGGCCGTCGGAGTGTGACGGATTAGTCTGGGTGGTAGGACGGTTGACTCTGCGTGGGAAGAGGTCCTCGAGGGCGGCTGGTGGCCGCTCTCCGGGATGGTTTCCCTGGTACCAGGTCCAGAGGTCGATCCCGTGCTGGCGTAGCAGGTTGAACTTCCTGGACTCGAGCGCTCCGTACTTGTGGTAGGCGCCGTCAGCGTTCTGGTTCGAGTTCCGCCAAGGTGGAAGGGGCCGTCCTTGGTCGAGAATAAGCTGGTCCTCGTGCCAGAGGAGGGCGTCGTACGGATGGAGGACGACTTGAGCATGAGGGACGATGAGGTCCTTCTGCAGGAAGAGGCAGAGTGCTTGTCCGGTCCAAATGTTGCGATGGGTACGGTTGTACGGTGGAAGGATGACGTACTGGTGGACGCAACCGAACTGGGTGGTGTAGAAGTCGCAGATCTCGGCGATGAGGTCGGCGTAGTCTTCGTTGCCCTTGTTGAAGTATTCTCGGCCGAACCAGAAGATGGCATGCTTGGTCTTCGGGCCTGGAAGGCGTCGTCGGATGCAGCCAAGCACGATGTTCTTGTCGTCGGAGTCGATGTGGACGAGCTCGACTTCGGGCTTGAGCAGCTTCGAGATCGGCGAGAGGAAGAACTCTTCGTCGGCGAACAGGACGTACTCGTGGGTCGTTCTGGAGACGTTGAGGAAGGTGTCGGCTTCCGGTCCCCATTTGACGTCGGCGAGTCGAACCCAACCGTAGGTCTGGTCGTTGGTTTCCAGCGCACGGATGCGGCGCAGCACATACTGAAGGTAGGCGCGGTCGCGGAGTTCTTGAATGACCCAGGGCGCTGGGGTGAGGATTTGCTCTCTGATGGCAGCTCGGAACTTGCTGTCGACTTCCTTGTTCTGGAGCCAGTCGGTGCTGAAGATGGGCCAGCCGGAAAGGTGCTCGATGAAGTCGAGGAAGGCCTTATGGCAGTAGCACAGCCAGTACATCGTAGCACGGCGGAAGTCGTCCGTGGTAGGCAGAGGGTCGACGCGCGGAGCGAGTCCTTCGGTCATCTTCTTGAGGTGCTGGTTAAGGAGCTGCGGGATCTTCCACTCGAAGTCGGTGGTCTTGAGCATGTCTCGGATGAAGTAGAGGATATGCGCGGTCCGAGGGTGGTTACCGCCGAGACGGACTGCGTAGACGAGCAGGATCATCTGACCGAGGCATCGGACGTGCAGCGACAGGACGTGGTCCAGCAGGTTTTGCAGGTCCCTGCTTTCGATGATGACGGTGTACCTTCGCCAGGTGGACTTGATGATGATCCGAGCGACGAGAATGCTCTGGTGGAAGTGGTGGATGTCTTCTCCGAGGCCATCGCAGACAGTCACGGGGTCCCAAGGGTGGTTGGTCGGACGGCGATAGATCTCTCGGTGGGTTACCGCGTTGAATCCGAAGGTAGTCAGCTGGGCAGCAGGCAGTGGGTAGGTGGCCAGCATGCTTGCCTCGATCTTCCTGGCGGTCACACCTCCTTGGGTCTCTTCGGTAACGAGCTGACGAATCCGGCGCTTGATCTCCTCCCATTCCGGGTAGGCTGGAAGTGTCGTCGGATCGAACAGTCGGAGCGGTGGCAGCGGACTTGAGCTTGCTGCTGGTGGAGTGGTTTCGCTCGTTTCGGGGAGACTAGGGGTGGAAGCGCCAACGGAGTGTGTCGGATTAGGCGGTAGGATCTGTGCGTCGGGTGTTTCGACGGCTTCTTCGGCATTTGATGCCGGAATAATGGCGGAGTTCTGTGCGTCGGATGTTTCGACGGTTTCGGTTGCATCGGTGGTTTCCTCAGGCGTTGTGTCAGTCGGCGGCTTGGTAGGTTCGGGCTGATCGGTGACGGTTGGAGGGTCCGTATCCGGATAGTCCGGTGTCACGTCGTACGGTGGACGCGTGGTTGTCGTTGGGCGCTTCATGACATAACCGCGACCTCGAGCTCTGCGTGAGGCAGTTGCGCCGCGAATGCTGGTGTTACCGGTCGGGTTCTGAGCCTGGGAGGCACCGACGGAGTGTGTCGGATCTGCCTGAAGTGGGTCTTGTGGAGGGGCCTGAACTTGGACAGGCAGTCGAGGGAGTCCAAGTGGGTTCGGACCGAAGCCTCCTCGGAAGATCCTCTTGCAGGTGGATCCGCGAATGCTCTGAGCGGTTCTTTGCGACGGGAACATCGTCTGAACGAAGTCGTCTTCCTCCGGTGCGCCGGTGGCGGGCATCTCGGTGGTGGGCTTCGCTCCAGAGTGTGCCGAGTCGTCTTTGTCGGTGGTGTTCTCTGCGACTGGTGGTATGTCGCTAGGTTTGGAGCAGCTGTTGTCGTCCTTTCCCGCTTCCTGATCAGCTGGATCAGCCCTGGGGCCGGCCGCGATGAGCACTGCGGTCTCCTTCGCCATTTCCGCAAGGATGGAGTCGCGAGTGGCTTCGTCGGGAGCGTTGGCAGCGGCAGCGAGTTTGGACTGGATGGTGCGGTAGAGGGCACTGGTGTGGTCGTCTAGCGCAAGAAGGTGAGCTGCTGGGCTTTGGTCGCAGGTGGTAGGCGACGTGGTAGTGTCTTGGGCCGGAGCTGCTTCCTCAACGGAGTGTGTTGGAACGGAAGCAGCCGGCTGTGCGGTGGATGCCTCCGTGGTGGTGAGGGCTTCTTGTCCGGCCGTGTTCGAGCTGGTAGTCGTTGCGCTGGTCGAAGTAGGTGCCATAGCGTCTTCTGAAATTGAGGCAACTGAGAAAACGTCGGCAATGACAGTGGTTTCGCAACGAGAAGGCACGCGAGGAATGTTCCCAATGGGGTAGAGGTGCTCCAGAGCCCGGGTGTGTTCCTGGTGGGTCCTACTAAATCGGACACGGGCGGTGCGGATAAGGCCGTCTT